CCGATTCTCGTGTGGATGATAGATGTCGAAATGTTGCTACTGGGCCTCCGTCTTCATCAGCTCGAACAAGAGACCACGAATTATTTTCCCATCTGGCAACCGTGCCATGAATTTTCCACAAACCTTTAAATTCAGGTATTGATGATGCACTATTGCCAAGAGAATTACGAGCTTTCCCGAAATCCGCTTCCGTATAAAAGACATTAAAAGGAACAGTGTTTGGATTGTAACCGGGCCGATATCGGCCTGCATCTTCAATAAGATGATCAAAATTCGTTGTAACAACAGTCGACATAAATGCGAGAACAGCAAGAGCATCATGTGTTCGGCTTGGTCGTGATGTGCCACTATTAAGAATATCGAGAACGGATAAATTTGGGTCGATATACTGTTGAATAATATCAAAAACACCTTCGAAACGTATGCGAGGCGGCCCTGTCCAAAAATGTGGTTTAATTATTTCCCATGCCGTAGGACGGTCTGCAATCTGCCATTCTGTGGGCGATGTGTATGATTTAACAAGCTTTTGTAATCCACTGGTCGCTAATAATTGGAAATTTGTAGAAGTTTCACCGTAAAGTATCGCAAATGGCGACGATGCAAATTCCTCCAGTCCCAACAAAGCCAGTTCATTTAATTGTTCCTCATCTATAAATGATTTAACTTTGGGACAATAGGAGGATAGGTGTAACAGATTATGCGTAATCAATTCATCATTTATCAGTTGTTGCTGAGGTACTACGGTCGCCTGATGACTTGCCGTGCAACAAAACTGAGGACTGTATCTTTGTGGATTTTTTTCTTTCCCACTATTGACGTCACTAGCACCAACTAACTGATGGCTTTCAACGGTTTGGCGGTACTGCTGCCGAATATCATCTACCATTTACTTCATTAACATTCTTTTTAGAAAGAAAAGAATCGAAGGTGTGAACGAACGCTTCAACAGTTAGTAGTTATTATTTCAGAGGAAATAGCTACGACACAGATATAATCCGGTTTGTTGACCTAAAAGTTTGATAAAATATCCAGATTTGATCTAAAATTTTTTTATGAATACCGAAAATAATTCTGTGAAAAACGAAGTTTCACTGTTTACTATATTATCAAGACAGGCTAGGTCTTGTCTCTTTTCTAGGGGGCTCACTCAAACATGTTCCCTCGTAAGTTACAGTTCAGTTAAAAACAATTATCTGGAAAAAATGCATAAAACAACACATATCAGTCGAGGACATCCTAAACGTTGTTTTTTCAAAAAAGGGCCTCTAAAGACTCTCTGGAAAACTCTAAACATCTTCAAAGTATGTTCATTCGCTTTGTCATCATCGTTTACCTATTTGAGAAAACTTTCACTAAATTGCAGGTAACAATAGACATTTCATTTAAAAATGGTCTTGCGGCTTTTCCTGTGCTAACAGTATTAAAAATATTTTTCTCAACAATGAAAAGAATTAAGAAGTCCGCTGGACCTGGACCGTGCTGCACACCTCTAATGGCGACTGCGACTGATCGAAATAGTTGTGTAGTACGGGGATAATCTTGGAATTGAGGAACAGCGACATGACGACGGACAGACCGGAGATTATTTTGACGACGTGGTCCCTAAGAATGAAAGGACTCTCATTTGGTCCTATCCCATGAGCATAAACTGTAAAAGAAAAGTATGTGTTTTTGATCGATTGATAAAAGAATAACTTGTTGAAACAGAGCGGTTAGTTGTCTTTGAAGAAGTGAAGTGAGAGTGAGGGGACACCTCTCCAAAATATATCAATGTTCCGAATTATAAGTCTCTTAAAGTTTCATTTATTCAACCTGGCCGTAAAAGTGATCACTTATAACAGACTTATATATTTCGGAAAAATTTTGTCTGAATTTGCATTATAACATAACCCAGTTATACTTATCTTATACCTCACTCATTTTCTTCGAAATTAACAAACACATAGTGTACATATTCTGTATATAATATTTTGTAATTTGTATATTTTACATCATCTGTATACATTTTTATCTATTTGGCTATAAATAATTCTCACAGGCAAATAAACATGTTTTTTTATTCTCTTCGATCATATTCTTAATTCTGATTCTCTTTTTGTAGATGAGCACTCTTGATATTGAGATCTCTATATCTTGAAAAGTAAAAGAGACCTTTTTCTAAAAAATAGCATGGTATAGAGTACAATTTGTATACTACTAATTCGTCGAAAAACTGGAGAAGAGTACCTTCAAATTTGTTAACTTTTTAATCTGGAAGTTGCTAGAATAAACACGAATTTCATAGCGAAGGGAATCTTTCTTTTGGATAAAACGATAAAATGTGTTCCCTTCTCCATTTGTTGCTATATCTGTCTCTATAGTATGCATAGAAAGAAGAAAACGAGTTTGAAAATGAGTTTGTTTCAAGAAAATACTGACTATGGATAAAAACAGCCTTTTAACCATTTTTACTTCTGTTTTACATATATTATCTCTGACTACCATAACCCGAAGAGAAAGCCAGAAAGTCATGATATTTCAGAAAGCTCTCTGAAAACTCATTTGGCTGTTATATTGGAGTAGATACCTACTCTTTCATACGTTCAGCTGTGATATTGGCAGCCTTATAACTCAAAAACTAAACGGTACCTTTTTCTAAAAAATAGCATGTTATAGAGTGCAAGCTGTGTACTACAAACTGGCAGAAAATCTGGAGAAGGGTACTTTCAAATTTGTTAACTTTACATCAGTATGACGTACAACGCGGGTGCTTTAAACTAGTACAAACAATGAAAATGGATCTTCTCTAAATAATGTAATTTGAAATCACGAAGTTGGAGAATACGAAATAAGGTTAGAGTGAGCACTTTTTTCCTTGAATATATAAAAGATGAACATTTTATGAAAAAATAAAGTTAGTTCTGTTTTTCTATTTCATTCTTTAAACAGAGAAGCGAAAAGCTTTCCATTATAGAAACAGAATTGGAATCAAAAACAGATTTTTCTAAATTGTGACTTTGGTATATCAGTGAGTTTTGAACCGATTTTCACCAAATTTGGGGCTTTTGTAGCTGAAAGTCTGAGCTATCTAATGACCTTAAAATTATTCCGAAATTCTCATCGAAGACGGATCTGAGAGATTTACTAGGGAGGGGATCATTTTGGTTCCAATTGGGCTCTGTGCGCAAAATGTGTCTAATTGGACCCGACCGAGTCAAATTACACGGGTTTACCACATTTGTGTAAAATCTAGTTTTTAGAAAACTTTATCTGATAAACTAAGAAGTGTTTATATGGCTATAATCAGGAGAATAAGAACCGTCGAATGGGATTATTTGAGATTTGTAGAATCAAAATTGACCAAGTTATACTTATAACACTTTACTGTGTAAAAAAACGAGATGGTTGCATATTAGACACTGAACTTGATTGAAACCGTACAGCAAAATGTGTGTCTAATTGGAGCCATCCCGTTCAAATTACACGGGTTTTCAATGTTTGCGTATAATCTATTTTCTACAATATTCAGAGGATACCGTAGAAAATATTTTACAGCAATCAATGGCTAAATTATTCTGTAAGTAATGAACCAGTCTCGAGATTTATACAACAAAGAATGAAAATAATATAGTCTCTAACTAATGAAAGCATATGTACTATTTGCAGAAACGTCCAGGGCATCGCTGTTTGGATCCTGAACTCACTGATTTTGTCTTGACTAGCTACACGCAGTATCAAAAATTCTTGACAGATAATTTTTAAAGTGCTTTGTAGGGTGTCACTTTTCAGAGCTTTTCAATGATCAAATCCCTATGTAGCGTAATACCCTAGGATCAGTTAGTGGAGCATGCCTTGGTGGTTAAGTTGTTGGTCACATAATTCAAAAATACTGTGTTCGAACCTCGGCGCCGGCAAAGCCATGTAATAATCATGCGCAAGTTACTTATGTCTTGGTGATGCGGATCACCGTTTGGTCGGTCGATCTGGTTCATTTCACCGTCATTGGAAAGCTCTGAAAAAAGATATCCTACAAAAGCACTTGGAAAATTATCCATCAAGGCTTTTGACTCCTGACTATAAATCTATGTGTTTCTCTGTGTTAGTGATTAGGCGTCTTAAGGTAAAGGTTTTTGTAATGGAGTATCAAGGGTACTTTCACCACTCCCGCGAGTGACAATAGCGTCTTGCTGACACTCCCAGGCATGCTAGTAGACCAGTCCATAAATAAAGCCGAACACATGAGAACGAGAAATTAGTAGCTATCTTACACATAATCAATTTACAGTTGTGAAAAAGGCCACGTCTGCTCTTCATTCATTTGTCAGCTCAATATTTGAAACTGTTTGTTGTTACAAATGAATGGTTCCATCATCAATTACGAAAACTTAATTGTTCCCAATATGATGAAGGAAGAAACTCACAACTGTTCTTTTAGCAGCTGTTGTTTATCTGTGCAGCTTCATGCACTTGATTGCTAAATGAACATAATGAACGTCAAAAGAAGTAACAGCTTAAAATAAATAAATAATTTTACCTGTTTTATTTGTAATGCGTAGTAATAAATTTTTAAAAACAGGAAGTGACTGTCATATAATAACCCATACCCATCAGAAGTTCATCAATTGCATGATCAATAAAACGAATATTTTCTTTTTGTTTTCGCTGTTTTTCTCATTAAATTAGTATAATTACTTTTTAAATATTCTCGTGGATATCATTCATTTTTCGCTGTTATGGTTGTGATCATCTTCATGTTGGCTTCTTAAATGACATACTTCATATCGTTAATCGTTAAGTTATTAGTTGCCAGCGGATTTGTTAGAAAAAGTCGTTTGAGGAAGAAATATTGATAATAGACCTTGCACCTACTGATAGATACAGTACATGCTTATCTTTAAAAGATGACTTAACCGTTTACCCCCGCTTGAACCATTTTCGACCCATTCGTAGAAATGATGTATTGGCGTAACAAAGCATCAAATCAAGAAGCTTTATGAACATTATGTGGAGGATTCAAAAAAAGCTATAGATTCGTAAAAGATAACTTGTTTTTCATCACGCCTTGGCTAAGATATTTGAGTCTAAAAACAGTGAATTTCCAGAAAAGTGAAAAAATCTGATTTTTTCGAAGATTTTTTTGATTTGCACAGGTTGATTATTCTTGTGTTTTGGGTGATTGATATATACTTCTATGCGCGTCACCTATTTGCTGAAAAGTGTTTAAAAATTTTTTGATTAGTTATTATTTATACTTGTTTGTTTTATTTGAAGTATACGACAATTGACGGCAGAATATATGCTTCTTGAAACACAACTAGTTCATCATGGAAGCCATTCTCATCATTACATACTGCTTTTGGTATATAGTGACAATGGTAATTTTCACAATTACCTAGAGCATAGAATAGAGAGTCTTTTGGATTAGAATATTGTGGTACATCATCGTCAATAATTGGCAATGGATTCAGTATCAAGACATAACATAAGATAATACATTCACCCGGACCGCCATAAGTCGATGCATATTTAGCCGACGATGTAAAATATATTCCTTTACCAAACCAATCTTCATCTTTAACACCATTTGCAGCAGAACCTGTTGGCATTAAACTTTTTAATACTTTTCGTAGACATCCACGCCACATACGTACAATATTAACTTGACGATTATGTTGTAATTGTCCACATAAGCCATTTAAATGTTCTAAAACACTTTGAAGTTCTTTCAAATTTTTTTCTGTTTTTTGTAATAAATTAGGTTCAAATCCCGATTCCTCTTGTAGTAAAACACGTTTACGTTCTTCCAAACGTTTTTCTATTTTCACTAAATCAGGCTTAAATGCCGGTTGTTTTTGTCGTAATTCAATTTTGTTAATTTCATCCAAAAAATGCTGATAACGACTATGGTCATACGGATGCTCAATTTTATCAACAACAAAATCTTTTGGCAATGGTCCTACCCATTGATTAATTTGACACCATAATTTTGGATCTCTTTCTTCATTTATTTCGTATGAAAATATTTTTTTGTTCAATATATTGAATGGTGGGATAAAATCACCAATTGGTTTTGGTTCTAATGCTGATAATGATAAACGATCGGGTATTTTAAAAAACCGCTGTTTTATTTTAAACCATTGGTTACCCTCACAGTCCAACCATCCAGATAGAGATTTAATAAAATCTTGTGCATAAATATTTATATTTTTCCATTTTTGAGGCATATTTGCATAACCGTAAAGTACACCAGCTAATTGTACATAGACAGCAGCTGTATCATCACCACCAATGATCTTTGCTTGTATATAGCCTTGTTCAATATCGTTTTCATCATTCTTAAATGCTTCTAATGCTAATTTTAACGATTGTAAATAATGATGATGACATTGATCTCCGTTAGCAATTTTTTCAACATCCTTGTGTAATTTTTGATTATTGAACCATTCCAATAAATGTTTATCATAAAATTTTGTATCTAACAACTGTTCTTTATTATAACCATGAAGGACACCAACAATTAAACCTGCATAATATCGGCATGCAGCAATCTGGCGATCATCACCATTATTCAAGATGCTTGCGCTTTCACCAGCGTATTTAATAGCGTCTGGAGGATAATGGTAGAAAAATGCGACTATTGGTAATAGACGTTTAAAACAATCACTAGTATTAGATGAAGCAAGACATACTGTTGGTTTAAAGATAAAACTTGTTCTCTTTTCTCTCGGAATTGAATCATGTTTACTTTTTCTATACCGTTTTCGATGAACATAATCATTTTGTTGAACTTCGAATTCATAGGGAATTTGTTTAATTGTAATATCTACATGTGGGCTGGAAGATCGACAAGATGACATGTATCCACATATCATGTACCATTTATAACGAACATATTGATCGTATGCATCATATTTCCGTTGAACAATTAGTGAAATAGTTGTACATAACATGAATGATATTATGTGTGACCATGGATACACTTCATTTAGTTCGGGATGAGATGACTGAACTAATTGTTCAACAATAATTAAACCAAAATAGGAACCCATTATTTGATTATAAATTGTTCCTTGAATCGACCTTGGTGGTAATATGTGATCAGATTCATGGGGTTGAACGATTTGTGTTTTTCCAGGATCATGAAATTTAAGTTTCAGACGCGAGTTATTTGATTCAACTAAATCAGCAATGAATCAAATTAGTGTGTATGAAACAGAAAAAAGTATGTTGAAGAACTAAAACCCGATGACGCTTTGTGACTGTAGCATAAGGTGCAAGGTAGCTCAACACTGTTTTGCTGCAACTAATGTGAATGCAACGATGAGCAGGTGATCACCAAATCGTTCTGCTCATCATGAAGAAATGTACAGATTTGTTCTTTGGATGATAGCACCTTCGTCACGTTAAATTTTGTCACATAGAAAAAACGGAATATCCCACACTTTAGTCACAAGAGTGATGAACTTTCGTAACCAACTGTGTAACATACCTACAACTATCGTCACACCCTATCGCGAACTTTCGTCACAGTAACAACACAACGGCAAATAACGTCTTATAACATGTGCACAACAACGCTTTATTATGCCGTTTTTCTCACGTTTATATACTATTCCTATTGACTGTAAAAAAAACTTCTTGCATTTGGACTACTCCAATTCAGGCTGTTGCAGTGTGGACTACTTCAGACCGAACTACTCCCAAACGTAATAGACGCTTAATTTTGATACTTTAGCCTTAGAAAAAGACTTCAAAAGGGTTTTTTACGCGTTTCGCTAAGAAAATGCAATGTTTGTAACGGAAAAAGCAAGAAGTTATTGCTCCACTTTGCACTACTACACTTTGTATTAAGGAACTTCGCACTACAACCTTGATTTCATCGCAGCTGTTTCACGCAATGTGTGACGAAAGTGCTGTGCCACCTGTCTAAAAATCCAGTGATTCTCGTCATAATCGAAAACAAACTCTCGTCACAAAAGGGGTTAACTTTCGTAGCCACTATGAAAACATAGCTAAACTTTCGTCACGTGCCGAAAGGACTTTTGTCATGTGACGAAAGTCAGCGTTACTCGATAACGAAAGTACTGCGAAACTTCCCTTTTATCGAACACTAACGATATCTCAAAAACCACACGTTGAAACCTGTACTATTATATTATCTGTTCAAAGAGAGAATGAGCTCTGGGTATTTTCTAAATGGTTATTTCTTACTACTCAAAGGACAACTTAACTAACAAAGTATAATGTACCTTACTTTATTTTCTTCTAAGACGGTGAACTAATTCTGACATTCTTAGATCATTGGTTTCGTATTTTACCTAAAAATCTCATCATACGTGTACACATTTTATTTACATTTTATGTTTCATTTAGCCTCAACTGACTTAAGGATGAGAACGAAAACGAAATTTCCAACTACGTTTCTGTGTATGATACGTAAGTGGCCGATATCATTACAATATGCGACTCCAATATTTTTCTGGTTTACTACAGGAAAGTGAGTTTATCTAGAAGGTAAAATGCATATGTTTTATGAGGTGTAAAGGAAGTAAATGATTGGAAAAAGCCAGCTTATAGTTTCTCATAGCCAAATCATAGTTTAGTCACTCTACTGTGTAAAAAAGGTATGCTTCCTTCAAAGATTTAATAGCTAGTGAATGTCTATTGGACGAATGGCTAAAATCTGAATGAGAAAAGATTGTGAGCTCGTATTCTTATTTTGAACTGATAATAACAATAAAAGCTTATGCTCAGCATCGTTTCTGTCTTACTTGCTTCTCACAAACGTTCGCTCAGTCGGCTTCCAATCTTCGTAGAGAGCAGTTGGCATCTAGTTGGTATTCTATTTATACAAAAAAACGCGGTTCTAGTAGACACAGGACTCCGACGAAAAATGAATGATGAAGAATGAAATTCTAAAAATACATCATATGCTTCAGATCGAATGATAAATATATTTGGTTCGATTTTCAAAAACTCCTTTTGTGTTGGTCCGTTATCCAAATAGAAACAACTCTGCAATACACTAACTTTTGTCAACCACAGATTTTTTAAATACCTGTGTAACGGCAGCGAAGGTCAAAAATATCAGTATGACTGCCCATAATGAAGTACATTAGAAAGATAAGGAATTAGGTTATGATAAGCATGAAAAGCAAAATCAATCTCAGATTTCGAATCAACATTAAAAACTGAATTGATTGATGTGTATTTCAGGTTTTTTTGACAACTTTCATTGTCCGGAAAAATTCTCGCTCGAAAAATTCGAACCGTTGAAGTGATCTCAAGTTCAATAGAAACCAAACTTTCTAGCTTTCTCTTCGAGTCACGATCGTCAGAGATAATGTGTATTCAACTTTTACTTATTAAGTGGATAGTCAGATTAAATTTTAGGAATAAAATAATTGGATGCACATCAAAATTATGTAAGATTCAACTTTGTCACGTATTTATATAAGACTATTCAACCTGAGCCGTTTATCCTGTTCACAGTTGGATTGCTTTCATAAACATAATTCGAAACAATGCATCGATATTAGGCATGCAACAATCCCAAACTAGGAATCGCTGATCGGCACCAAACCGTTCGCAACCGAACATGTTCGGTCACCAAGCAGTCTGTTACCGAACGGTTCGCTACTGAACATGTTCGCTGCCGATCAGCGAACCCTAGCTTGGGATGGTTGCATGCCTGATCTGCACTAAAGGCAAATTGAATGAAATTGAAGCTATTGAAGGAACTAACCAGTGAGAAAATAGACTAAAGCACAATGTGAGCGAATGTATCTTCTACTGAATCGCTACCAAAAATTTAAAAAAAGTAGTTTGCCAAAGCTAAGAACATGAGAACGAAGAAACACATGAAAGAAATCTTTGTAAAACAAAAAAAATGGCGAAGATTGCA